GACAGTAAAGAATGAGCAGGACAGTAAAGAATGAGCAAGACAGTAAAGAATGAGCAGGACAGTAAAGAATGAGAGAAGAATAATAAAGCATGTAATAAGGAGATTTTGAATCATCACTCATGACTCCGTGCGATTCTTTCTGCCGATATCCGCATTCCTCTTTGGAAAAAACCCTGAAATAAGTTTGCCGGGGCTGGCTCGCTGCAAGTTTTACATTCAACAAATCATGCACCTTGTTTCATTACAATGATTATAATCCCCTCCATGTTCCATCAGTTAACAGTATTTCTCTGCATCCACTTTAGCTTTTCAAAAAAACAAAACAACAACAACAAAAAATCCCACTCAAGCATATATAATTTTCACCTTCAAAGAGTACGTTCTGCAAGTCTGCTCCTGGCAACTACCTTTTAGTCCCTCTCTTCCCATGACTCTAGAGTCCTCAGCTGCTCCCTCTCTCCATGTCCGCCTCTCTGCCTCCATCTCTTGTGTCGCTGCTTCTCTGGATAAGGTCCTCCATTCTGCTTGTGCTCTTCTCCCTTGATGGTCCCAGGGTCCTTTGTTTCTGGACTGTAAGATTAACAACTCCCCTGTTTTTGTTACAAAACTTCTACCTTTACAATTGTGACAGTCTCAGTAAAACAAAACAAAACAAAATCAATTACTCACAATGAATCATAAGAATCTTATCCCCATCTCTTTTTAACCATCTAGATCATCTAGACAAGATGAAAGCTATTCAGTGGGAACTCTATCTTCCCTCACACACTCTTAAACTAAACTCCCTCTTGAAACCTTGTAAGCCAGTCACTTCTTGCCTTTTTTGCCACCTCATTTTAGGTAGCGAATGTCTTAAGTTGCCCATCCCTATCTACCCTTTGTGTATAGCATTGATACTTGATGTGAAGATTCCTTCTCTCTCTATTGATATTTAGAGCTACTACCTCCATGAGTATAGGTCAAGTTCATCAAATTGTAGCAATTTACCCTCATTTCATTTATCAAAAATTGCTTTTATTTTAATCTTCCTCTAGTTGAATTATGATCATCGAGCCATTGAGGTTAGATCAAATGGGTACTATCTGCAAGTTTGGGTGCCACCTGCAGATGTCTTAACATGCTCTTCAATGACTATCTGGGTCTTGGTGGCCAGCTGAGCTGACCAGAACAACAGGTATCCCCCAGCTCCCACCTCTTCTGCTTTTCCACACTTATGAAGCCATGTGCTTTCCTAGAACCGTACTATGCTGCTCGACATTTTCAAGATATTCCCATACACAGTGGTTTACAAGCATTAAACATTATGGGTCAAAACTCCCTACATGGAATTTTCCAACCTGGGATTTTCCCTGGAGGCAACCTCACTTCCACTCGTCAATTATTGGGGTATGGATCAGTAACTCAATGTTGTTGCTGTTATGTGCTGTGGAGTCGGTTCTGACTCATAACGACCTTGTACAGAGTTTCCGAGGCTGTAAAATCTTTACAGGAGGAGAAAGCCTCATCTTTCTTCTATGGAACAGCTGGTAGTTTCAAACTGCTGACCTTGCGGTTCGCAGCCCAATTCGTAACCACTACATTACTAGAGCTCCTTAGTAACTCAATATTTGCCTCAAAATATAGAAGTGGCCTAGAAATTGAAGAAAGAGGCTGACAACTCCAGGATTATGGTAAAGGAGCTTATTAGGAGACTTACATACAGAATATGGTCTTAGGTGGCTGTGGAACAGATTCAATTTTCTAGGCCTCCAGTGGGAGGTAGGGTTTCTTATGGCTATGGTGAATACAGATGGCGACATGCCAGGAATCCAGACTTCCAAGGCCACCTCATGGGAAGCTCCATAAGGGTAGATTAGGAAACAGAAGGGAGCTAGAGGTAAGTAAAAGGTTTGGCTGGGCAAAACCCGTTTCTTCTACACCTACTCAATCCTTTCCTGAGCCTCAGGCCTGTAACTACTAACTACCTTGTTTATTTCATTAAAAAGAGATGATACAGGTTAACACACCTAATTGGTAAACATTTTCAAAATCATATTTTAAAACTTAAATCACTTCATGCCACAGGAATTCAAATCAAAATTGTTCAGAACAGAACACAAGCCATCTGCCACATCTATACAACTGCTTCTCCCTGTGAATTCTCTCTTGATCAATGTTCTCACTAGATACAGGGGTGCCCATGCCAGAAACCTGGGAGTCCTCACCAATCCTTCTTCTCAGTTACCACCTCTGTGTAGTTCACACACTCTGTCATTTCTCACTTTAACTGAAAGTTTTCCTTAGTCAAGACCTAGAAAGTAGGAGCCAAGTAGGAGCAAATGATAGTATACATTTTTGTTATTAAAGATGGTGGCATGCCATGTTTAATAACAAAAATGGGGGGATGAAAGAGTGGCCCATGTCTTTGTAGGCTGAAGTATGACTCTAGTACTCCTGGGGGGGGGGGGGGGCTGGGAATTGAGGAATCATGGCTCCTTCCTAATCCTATGGCTTAATTTCTCCAGTCTTCTGGCCATGCCTCTCATCAACTTTTCTTTGGGCTTGCATCCTAATTTGCCTCAGTTACCTTCTACACAAACTCACTCATTCATCCATTAAATACTGAAAACCAAGTTGGCAGTGTAGTGAGTCATTTAATGTCTCTCCTAACCCTATACAGGGTCGCTATGGGTCGGAACCGACTCGATGGCACACAACAACAACAACAACCATAGTCATTGTCAACTCCCACCAGAGAATATTTTTGCCTCATGGGTCTGGAGAAGAAGGGATGGAGAAGATGCTGATGGGATGCTGTTATTCAGTTGTGCATGCTTAACAGGATTAACTGTGATTGTAAAAACCTGAAGCTCTAATGTGTATACAATGAACCATCTGAGAAGCAGGAGTGGGGCTCTCACTACCATCAAAGAAGATGAACTAGGAGTGGAGATTTCACTACCACCAAAGAAGATGAACCAGGAGTGGAGAGTGTTATTTGGATCCTGAGATCGCTGCACATTGACCCTCCTCAGCCCAGGACAGATCGCTGCACATTGACCCTCCTCAGCCCAGGACAGAAAGTTGTGACACCAGAGGAGTGGCAGAGGAGCAGCAGCAGCAGCAGAGTCAAGAGACAGAGCAGGAGACAGAGCCATGGGCATCCAGCTCACAGAAAAAGTGAAGCTGAATGCCTTTGGGCAGGAGACTCATTTGTAGAGTGGGGGCCTAGATTTTATGATCCATGGAGCTAGAGTTGAGTGACTTCGAGTTGAAGACTATGGTTGAGTGGTGTGTCCAGTGGTCATTTATCAGTAGCCCTAAAAGAGCTTTGTAACTGGCCAAGTAGAGAGAGGCCTGCCTGTGGGCACAGCTGGGGAAATGCTGTCCTCACTGAAACAACTGTGTCCTCTGAGCATTTTTTGATCCTGCATTGGAACCTGTTAACTTCCATAATAAACCTGTAACAGTTAGCATGGTGTGTGAGTTCTGTGTGGCCATTGCAATGGATTATTGAACCTAGCTGAGGAGAGGAAAGGGTTGTGGGAGGATGGTTTGAAACTATTTATCTCTTGCACAAAGATATGCCTAATGCACCCTGCCCAAGTTTGAAATCCCTTTAAAAATTCATATTGGGAATACATGGGAAGTAATTACTCTATAATAAAATATCTCTTTTAATGTAAAATAAATTACAAAAGTATTTACTATTTAGTCGCTCAATTTATCATTCCTTCCTAATGAAAATAATAACAACAATAACTTGTAGATGAAACTTCCCACCTGGGGAAGATGTGCCACCCTTGCCTGAGACCGTACTTGAACATTTTAGTTCTCAAAGGAGCTTGGGCTTTAGAGTTGGGCCTGTGTGATTTACATACTGCATTGTCTACTTATCATCTGTGCCAGTGTTAGCGAATATTTTGAACTATCCAAACCTCAATTTCCTCATCTGCAAAATGATGATAAATGCTTGCATTTCATAGCTACTAAGTGTTCTTACTTTTCTTCTTACATCAAAGCCCAACAAGGTGAGGAGAGGGGGATTAAAGTAAAAAGAGGGGAGGATAAAAGGAAGAGGTTAGAGGATGGGAAATGAGTAGGGAGGGGAGATGGGATGAGGGGAAGATGAGGAAGAGGAGAGAAGGCAGTGAGGGGACAACTGAGGAGAGAATCCTCAAATGGGAGGAACTGTGAGGCGAAAGTGCTAAGGAGAGATGCTAGGTGGTAAATAACAGCTCCAGGTCAGGACTGAAGGTCAGTGGGTCTGGGAGACCTGGTCACCTGGGATTTATGTCTGAGAGTGCAGCATCTGCTGAGCCTCTGTGTCCACCTCACAATGATGAAGAAGCCTCAAGGATTCCTAGGTGGTTCAAACAGCATGTGCTTGACTACTAGGGGATTTTCTCCACAGTCTGCCCCTTACTACTGTCTCTCCTTCTCCTCCTTGCAATCCCCTCCTTGCACTCTGTCCTCCTCTTCCTCTCATCCTACCTCCCTGTTACGCTTCTTGGGTACTGTCTCTAGTCTCATTTTCCACACCTTTACATCTCTTCCTTTTATGCTCCCCTCCCTTAAGACCACCATTTCCTCCTCTCTTTTTCACTTTGCTGGTATACCCACTGTGGGCAATGTGGAAGAAAAAATTGGCAATCTGCTTTGGTAAAGATCACACCAAGAAAGCCCATGGAGCAGCTCCACTTGGTATTACACAGGCTGTCCATGAGTTGGAATCAACTCAATGACAACATGTCTCAGAGATTACTCTCTGCTCTGATTGACTTGGAGGAGCAGCACCTTAGAGGTCCTACAGGGAGCCTGAAGATTCATTTTGACTGTTCTTTAACTTCATATATTTGGAATCCTACAGCATGTAATCTTTTGTATATGGTGTTCTTAACTCCATTCTACTTTCTTAGACTAATTTCCTGCTTTGTCCAACCGTCTTCTCTCTCAGACTTCTGACAGGGACCCCTTCTCTCTGTTTTCCCAGTAGTGGTCACATGGTGGCAGCAGAGGCTGCGGGAAGCCTGGTGAGTTTTCTGGGCTTTTATTGTCCCTGGATTACTCTGGCCTGCTTTCTGTCCTGAGAGCTGTTGCTTTAGAGATGATTTCTGGAGTGAAGATATGGAGCAAGGTCTTCAAACTCTAGTGATATCATATACTGCTTTTAGTATTATATTTTGAACATATAGTTCCTAAATATGATCTGATGTTATACAGATTACAAAAATGAACACATATAATACATTAAAATATAAAGGATGAAAACCCACATAAATCCAAGCGATAATGTATTTTGTACCCCACCTAACATTCTCTGGAACATCTTAGAGCTGTGATCTTACTCTGGTAACCCAGGTTTGAAGCTGGTTGAATTGTGGCACTGACCTGGCTCCTGTTTAGGGCCCTTCACATAGTTGTGAGACCCTGGGCAGGTTTCCTCATATTGTTGGACCTCTGTTGTCTCAACAGTAACATGAGGGAAAGAAAGAACTACTCCACAGGATTATAGACATTCACTGAAATAAGATGTGATGTTCAGAGAAAATGGCACGTGATGAACAGAGGCCCTGAGAACTTGGCCATGGTCATTAGAGAGCAGAGGCTCTGACCTCATGCCTTCAGCTCTGGCTCTGGAGATAGGTTTTTATGAAATAAGAGGTAAAACAACCTGGTATCCTGGGGACCATTAGGACTGCCTGTCAGGGTTGGACAGGACTTCTCCCCTATTTTAGGGGTCTAGTCCTTACTTTCTCTTATTCTCTCAGGGATAGAGAGTCAAAGGGCAAGTCCTTCAACCTTTCCCCACAACTTGGTCCTCAGATCCCTCCCCCTAGGGAGGACCTACATAGTACTGGGGAGTCAGTATGTGCTTCACAGATCATTGACTGGATCACTCCTGGACAATATCCAAGGCAGCGCACTTACTGTCTGCAGCCGTGAACTGGACACCTTGGAGACTGCTGACTGGGACCACTTGTTATGTGTGTCCATTATGGCCTCTCAGCCTCAAATGTGCCAGCACAATGTCAGGGTATTCAGTTTTTTTCTCCCTTCTTTCCTTTCTTCCCTTCTTTCCATTCTCTTTCCTTTCTTATGACAGTGTTATTTCTGTCCTCTTGCTTTATCTTTCCATTTTTTTTTCATTTCTTATTTATTAGTTGAAACACATGTAATTAAATCTTCTATATGAAGGGTCATTTCCCCTCCTGCCTCATTTCTTTACCTCCGTGTGTCTCAGGGATTGGCTGTGAGTGGCCTGTCCTCCTCTCCCCTTGGATCTCAGAAGTGGGAATCAGGGTTGATGCCCTCTTAGAGGGTGGTGGAGCATTGTCATGGGTCAGGAGGACTCTGCAGCTGACCTCTGGGTGGGGCTGGGGCAGACTCTGACCCCAGGGAGTGGGTGGGGAAGGGGCATAAGGAGTTCCCAGAGCTGCCTGTGGCTGGGTATTCAGTTATGGAGGTGACATTGTGAAGGAGGAACTCCTTACCAGAGGTGCAGGTGGGCATGTGCAGAGAAGATGAAGCCCTGTTGTGCCTGCGGGGGTTTGGCAGCAGCTGCCAGTGGGAGCCAAGCCCTCCTGCCAGTCCATGCTGGGCCGAAGACTGACAGAAGAAATGTAAAGTAAAACCAAAAACCATCAAGTTATATGTGTGCTTTTCTCTCCACCTCCCAGAAAATGAACAGTCAGGAAACAGTTCTTGAAAATTTCTGCTTCAGGAGAAGAGAACCCAGTGAGCTCTTTGTCTTAAGAGTATCAAGAGAAATCAAGTTTTATAAATTTTCACCAGGATGAACCTTCCATAAAAGACGTTGAATCCTTTTTGTTAACTTTCACATTTTAACGTCACAATGTATGTTACATTAACCATTACTTTATGGCCCCGGTTGTCTAAAACTGTTTCAAAAGCACTTCAAACAATTTAAAGATAAGAGATACTGCATGTAAGTTAGAAAAGAAAGTAAAATATTAACCCTACTTGTTGTTGTTGTTGTTGTTGTCAGATGCCATCAAGTTGGAACCGACTCATAGCGACCCCATGCACAGCAGAACGAAACAATGTCCGATCCTGGGCC